TCTTCCCTATGCAAAGCACAGCCTTTTCCTACCCCTCTGTTCCTTTCAGGGCTTCCATAGTACACCAATCCTCCCGACTCAAAACTTCCGTGTCACCAGAGGCTGGGGGAGGGGGAAATGGGGTTGGGGGGCGGTTAGTGTTTAATGGGTACCCAGTGCCAGTTTGGGATGATGACAAAGTTCTTGAGAAGGATGGTGGTGATGGTTACACAACAATGTGACCATAATTAATGGCATTGGACTGTACATTTGAAACGGGTGAAAATGGTAAATTCTGTGTTATGTCTATTTCACCACAATTAAAAAAAAAAAAACCCAAACCCAAAACTCATGTCATCCTTGACTTGTGGCTACCTTGCTCTCTTCTCCCCAGCTTACTTTGCTACCAGGTCATTCTGATTTTTCACCTAGTGGAGATTCCTCAAACTTTTCCATACTCCAGAACCACTAGGGACTTGTTAGAGTTATCAATTCCCAAGTCCTACCCACCTCTTTGGTGTAGGGGTAGGGCATGGAACCTACATTTTAAACTTCCCAACAAACCTGATGTGAGTGGACTGCAGACTGCACTTGGAGAAATAGTGCCTCTCAGTGTCTTTCGGTTTTGTCCCTTCCTCTTCCTTCTACTACCCCTATCCTTGCCCCGGCTGGCCCTCATCACCTCACACCTGGATTACAGCAACAGCTGGTCCGTCACTAGCCTTTCCCTATTCTAGCCTCTCCAGCTGCCAGGACCCATCTTCTACAAATATCTTTTGCATCACATCACTTCTCTGCTCGGAAGCCTACCATGGCTCCCTGAGACCTCTTAGATTCTATCTAAAGTCACTTGGCTGGAAGCCAGCCAAGTGAGCCTCCCACCCTCCCGCTTACCTTCTTCTCTGTTCACTGCCACCCCTCCCGTGCTCATTAGTCATTTATTTTCCTTATGTTAGTCCCTCTGCTAGTTTGGGGTGGTCTTTCTTCTACCTCACCCTTCCCACAATAAGCCCTGGAACACTTCTGATTACGTTGGAGGAATTATGAAAACTGTTCAGATTCTCTATCCTGCTTCTCATTAATCTTGCCTTCCCCCATTGTGGGCTTTGCCATTCACCAGCTGTATGACTTTGGGCAAGTTGCTGAACCTCTCTGTGCCGTAGTGTTTTCATGTCCTCATGTGTAGAATGGTGATCTCAATAGGGCATACTTCATATGTCTGTGGACAGGATTAAGAGTCAACAGATGTAAAAAGTCTTATGACGGTTTCTAGCATAAAGTAAGTGCCATGTAAAGTGTTAGCTACTATTAGTAATTAGTATGATCACCTCCTCTTCCAGCCAGCTCCTCTCTGGAAACCATGTCTTCTTGGAATAGCTAACAGATGGAGTTCTCTGTTAAACCTTGCCTGATCTTGTGGAGGCGGTTAAGTATTAAGTGTTTGGGTTTCAACAAGCTCCTGTACATGAGATAACCTGAGGAACTGGGCTGTCTACAAAGCTGTAATTATGTCCATTAATTTCTAACCAAGTAGGAGGAGAGGGGCTGAGATTTGAAAGCAAGATTTTCCAGAATAAATAGGATTGACGTTGTGAGGGCAACTTCGCAATACCTTTTTTTTTTTTTTTCTTTTTTTTTGAGATGGAGTTTCACTCTTGTTGCCCAGGTTGGAATGCAATGGCATGATCTTGACTCACTGCAACGTCTGCCTCCCGGGTTCAAGCAATTCTTCTGCCTCGGCCTCCTGAGTAGCTGGGATTACAGGCATGCGCCACCATGCTCAGCTAATTTTGTATTTTTAGTAGAGACAGGGTTTCACCATGTTGGCCAGGCTTGTCTCAAACTCCTGGCCTCAGGTGATCTACCCGCCTTGGCCTCCCAAAGTGCTGGAATTGCAGGCGTGAGCCACTGCACCCAGCCAACTTCACAATACCTGAAGGGAGAGTGGATCATGCATCTTGTTTCCTATGGTCTTTCTGGAGTCCTTCTGCTGATACTCCAGGTCCCGGAGACCCTGCCCCTAGCTTTCTTGTCTGAGCCCTCCTAGAACACCCTCCCCTGTGGCCATCCCCAGCTTGAAAGCCTCTCACTTTGTGTCTTAAGCAGTCATTGTCTGGAAATAGCCCATCACCCACATTTCTGTTCTAGTCTACTTTTTCTTTAAATTGACAGACACAACTAAAATTATATGCATTTGTGATGTTTTGAAATATATACGCGTTGTGGAATGGCTCAATTTAGCTAATTAATATATGCGTTGTTGTTTTAGCTTTCAAATCCATGTCCTTGATTTTGTAGTGAATATAATTAATTCCTTTAAGGCCCACTGAATTCACAGTCAGTGTTTGTAATTATGTGTTCCCCCCAGCCCACCCGCATCTCTCTTTCTCTCTCTCAATGAATACCAAAAGTTCAAGTACTATAGAGTTGGGGGAGGTTTGGGAGTATTTTCGACATAAAAAAAGGGCCCTTATTGTCACTAAGGTTGGGAACCACTGCCCCGTGGGACATGTGGGAGCCATGGGAGTAGCACTAAGTTCTCTGGCTCTCAGTTTTCTCGTCTGTCCAATGGAGGTAAATCATAACTGCCTGTTTTTCCAAGGGCAGGAAACAGAGTGTTCTGTACTCAGGAGTGGGGCCAGGGAGCAGTGATCTTGTGATCCTTGCTGCTATGCTGGGAAGCCTCCATGAGGATGAGATGAGAGAATAGATGGGAGGGCACATGCAGAGGTGGCAAATGCAGGCAGGGGATGCGTACTGCTTCAAGCCTCATTATTATTTTCCTCGTTCTGGGTCCAGCTGGACCAGCTGAGCCCAGAAGCCTAAAACCCATGGAAGCCTTGCCAGGAGCAACGTGTTCTTTTGCCTTTCTCCACCCTTAGTTGCTTTTCTGTGGAGAAAAAACAACAGAGAACTGCTCCTGTATGTGACTAAGAAACATCTACAAACTTCCTCTTATCTAGCCTAGTAACTGCTGTGGCCTCAGAAGTTGCAGTGTTTGTCTCTGTTTAGTCAGCGTTGCCTAGGAAACAAAGTTGTTCTCTCTTTACCACTAGGTGACTGTGGGGCCAGTTTTTTCCCCTTTCTTGTAGAGAAAGGCTTGATGACCAGAGAGGTTTGGGGCGTTGCTGGGCTATTTTCTAGGTTTCCTTTTTTCATCTGCTTTTTCTCGTTCAGCTGGAAGTCTGGCGTGGGAAGTCTACAGAAGATTAACCAAAGAGCCACAAAGTCTCTAAGCTAGTTTTGAAAGGGGGAGGGATTTGGGAGTAAGTGGGGATTGGGAGAATTGGTCAGGGTGAGAAATGGCTGCCAGGGGGCTTTGAATGCACTCGTTCGAAGTTTGTATCTGTACCAGCAGCTGTACAATCTGCATGCCATGAACCAGTTGGCAGGTATAGACAATGAACCTGGCATTATGAATATCAAGGTTGGGAGCAGGTGGGGAAACTGGGATTTGAGAGGCCAGCAAGGAGGAGTTTGCAATGTTCTGAAGGGTTTTGGTGATTAGAAAAGAACAGGTCAGCGGGGTGCAGTGGCTCATGCCTATAATCCCTGCACTCTGGAGGGCCAAGGCAGGCAGGTTCCTTGAGTCCAGGAGCTCAAGACCAGCCTAGGCAACATGGCGAAACCTCCATCTCTACTAAAAATGCAAAAAAAAAAAAAAAAAAATCAGGAGTGGTGGTGCACACCTGCAGTCCCAGCTACTCAGGAGGCTGAGGTGAGGATCATCTGAGCCCAGGGAGTTGAGGCTGCAGTGAGCTGTGATGGCCCCACTGCACTCCAGCCTGGGCAACAAGAGTGAGACCCTATCTCAATAAAAAACAAAAAACGAAAAAACAAAAACAAAAACAAAATGTCAACATGTATGACCTTTACAGAGGAAGAAGCAGGTCATTTTGATTACATTTAGGCAGTGGTTGATGTAAGGGGCAGAGGGCAAGACATCTTGGTCACCTTGAGGTTTGTGGCTCAGGAAAATCAAGGAGTTCTGTTTCCCCAGTTTCAAGTGGGAAAAGGATAGGTATATATGCTACCAGAAGCTGAGATGGAATGGAATCACTTAAAGAGAGGTGATAGTTTCCCTTGGGAACATAGTGGGCTTAGAACACAGCTCAGAGTCCAGAGGAAGTTCAGGTTAGGGCGTGGTAGAGGAGACACTAAGCACTCATCAACAACCAATCAGAGAACTGCTAGGACTCTGGATGCTGGGGACATGGAGCTGGGAAAGGGTGATAGGTGATAATGAACCCCAAAGAGAGGCGGAGGAAGGAATCTGGAGTCGGGAGCCTTAGACTTGGCCCTGCCCAAGTGGTTGGTGCGTTTGGTGAGAGAACTTTCAGCAGTGTCCCTGAGAACTTTGAGCAGGGACTGAGGACATCTTTCCTTGGCTGGAAGTAAGGGGAAGAGCAAAGGAAAGGGGAGTGGTTTTGCTTCCTCATATATTCTCCCTCCTTCTCTTACTAGGGCCTTCTTAGCTCCTTTGCCAAGCCAAGTGTCACATGTGGATTGGTATTAAGGAGAATGCATTAAGTGACCCCGGTGATGTTTTCAGAAGAGAGGAGGCCCACGCCTGTTGATTTGGTTCCTCTCTTCTCGCTCCCTCCTATGTATACCCTGCCTGTTTCTTTTGGGCCTTCCTGGGGGTATCTTTTCTCCAAAATCATCCCCTCAAGCTACGGTTGTGTGTTATGAGTCACCTTGCCACTCACTCCGAAACTCTCATATGAAAGCAGAGCAGGAGAGAGAGGAAGGATCTGGGCTTGAGTCCTAATTCCCATAATAGTCATGTGACTTCGGGCAAGTCACTTAAACTCACTGAGTCTCAGTTTCTTTATCCAGACAGTGAGGGCAAAGAGCATGTCCTTCATATGGGTATTGTGCAGATGACACGAGATCACGGCTGCAGCATAGGCCTGGCACTGACAGGGTGCTCAAGGGATACTCAGGGGGTCAGCAAAACAGCCCCTACTGGGTGAGGGGCCTCTCCCACCCAGTCGGTTTATACTCAGTCAGACACCAAGTTTATTTTTAGAAAAACAGAGCAAAGTTTATTGAAATTTCAAGCTACATTTGAAAAATCAAAATCCAAATCCTGGAACCATACATCAGGATAAGGTGTCAAAAAGTGGAAAGTGTTCACTCTCACAAAACCCGCTACAGACAAGCTTTCTGGGCACACCTCCCAGGCTCCATTGGATCAAAGCCATTCCCTTGTTCATCCCTCATCCACAGTAGGACACCATCCTTCTGTTCACTTGAAAGTTTTCCACAATAATTACAAAACAAAACAAAACAAAACAAAACAAAAAACGTTTTCAAATGACACTGTGAAGCCCAAACTGATCTTCTCTCAACCCCATTCTATGTAGTCAGCACCAGTGAATGGTGGGTTTGGCATTCAAAAGAGGACTTCACGTTTCAGTGGACAGCTGGGGAAAGGGTTGCAGCAGCAAGGCATCCGTGGCCGCATTCAGAGCCTGGCCCCTCTCCTTGCCTTTACTCTCGAGTCTTACTTAACCTAAAGGACAAACTGGGTCAACTTGGTAAATGAACACAGTCAAAGACTTAGCCATAAGAGGTAAGGGACCAGTCAATATTCCCAAGGCTGGTTAGGCCCTTCAACATGTAGGTGGATGTGTATATGTATACATCGCTACACTAAGATACAGATCTAGCCCTATGGGTATATATACGCATTTATGGCTATATAGAAAAACTATGCCAATACTAACCAAACAGAACTTTGTAAGCGGTCATCCCAAAGCTGTAATCCCACACTGGGCTGTGCACAAAGCCATGCATTATACCATATTAACCAACAGAAGGCTGACTTGGCTCAATCTCTCCCATCTGTGTCCCCTGCCTTCATGAAGCAGGGGAGAAGAGAGAGGTTGTCTCTGCTTAAAACAAGTGGCTTCTTCATAGGAACAGTCATTGTCAGGTGAAGCTGTTGAAGATGTCCATGGAAATGAGAAACAGACCCCTTAAACTTTCTGGAGCAAACTGGTGTCACACCTCAAACTACCCTTCTCCTTTGCCAGTTGCAGCTAAGTTGCCCAGGCCCTGGGAGCCCCCAGGGCGCAGTAGCATTAGAGGCTCACTGGCTTGGTGTTACTAGGCCCCATGCAACTCAGCCTCCAGAGACCTGCTCTTGTCAGGGGGTCTGTCACTGGAGTGGACCCAGGTGGCCATGTCCTTAGGACATCTCTTGGCACCAGCTATGCTAGGTGTAAAGTTCTCCTCGTGAGATGACGCTTGGGGAGCCAAAAACAAACTGGAAAGAACTAGGTAAAACAAGTTTAGTGGCTCTGCCCACCCTGAGGACAGAGCCACTTACACCGCAGAACCACCAGGAGCCTCGGGCACTTGTGGGGATTCGGGAGCTGGCTCTTCAGGGCTCAGACAGGACTGGAACTTCTCCAGCTGCTCTGGGCTTGCCAGGGTCTTCAACAGGGTGTTCTCACGCTCTAGCTGGGAGTTCTTCTCCACCAGCTCTCGGATCTGCTCCTTCAGGATCTCCACCTCCTCTCTCACAGCATACATCAGATGATTCTTCACCAGATCCTGCCAAGGAGGGAATCATAACAAAGCCATTCCTTAGCCATCATGGACCCTCTGCAGCACCTTTGCTCTGCCATTGGTGTGCCTGTGCTGTCCTTAATGCCAGGGCCCTCCAGCCTTCCCTCAGTGAACTGGTCTGGCAAGTCCAATTCCTCGTTCACCTTTCTCTGAAGCACTTAAACCCTCATTCAGGAGAGCTACATGATTTGGCTCATGCTGGAGTTGAGAGCCCAGCTTTGAACTAGATAGGTTCTCCCCTCCAAGTTTCCAATGACTTTCAAAGCTGGCTGCTGAGGGGCCTTTGGGATGACACTTCTGCTGGTTGCCGGTGGTTTGCTATGTCCCCCATTTTACATAAGCCCCTGCTGCTGCTGATCCAGATCTGGGGGAAGGGGAGACCTGCAATGCATCCCATACTGTTTGTCTGCTCTACAAATCTTAACCAAGAGAATAAAATTGGCTATTTTGGAGTCTCCTCCCCTCCATATGACCCAGCACATTGAATTGCAGCTGTCCTGCAGCCGGCCAGTTAGCATGCAGGACATTGGCCTTGGGGAAAGGTACAGAACTCCTGCATCCTCTCTGAATTTGATGACTGCAATGGGGGCAGGGAAGGTGTCCTTAAGCTCCAGGGCACAATTAAGTGGCTCCCAACCGCTGAAGTCCTAACCCTCTGCAGCCATTGTGGCTGCTCCTTGGAGTATGACCTCTACCTGGTAAGGAGAGGGACAGGGGTGAGGTGCTTCGCTTCCTGTTTCCACCCAACTCCTGACCCCAGTCCAGGCTCTGCAGAGGCACTGCAGTGCTGTTGCATCCAATGAGCTCTGCCCCTTGCCAGCTGCACGATGCACACAAATGCAAGAATCTGAGCTCCCTGCCCAGCAACAGGCCCAGAAGAGAGTCAGAGCCTGCTGCAAAGACCTGAGATGGAGGAGAGAGGAAGAAAGGAGGGAGCCCGGGAAGGGAAGACTGGAAATGCCCTAAAAAGTGTCACTGTAATCAGACTCCACCTCCAGTGGGGATAGGAGGCAGGCTGTCGGCTTCCTCAGGGTTTTGGCTAACGGCTTTTTCACCCATTCCCTCAATCCTGCCCAGAGTTACATAAGCAGCAGCTAAGTCAGGGGATGAGAATGACGCAGTGTTGCCACTCACCATGGCCTGTTCGATCTTGTTGTCTATGGCCACCACGCTGGCTCCAGAGGCACTGCCAAGACAAAAAGCAAAGCGACCTATTACCCACTCGGTTCTACTCTGAGTACATGGCAGTTGTGGCCAAAGTCCTCCACCTGCCTTGGCTCTTCCTCTCTCTCTCTCTTTCTCGCCTCCCTGGCCCAGAGTTCCGGACAGTTTGTCCCCAGATCCTTCCTTAGCCCCTGCAGGAAGCTGCATCTCCTCATCGAGGCCGGCTCAGCGCTGCTGCCGCCGCCCCGAGTTCCGCCCCGAGTTCCAACCGATCGGAGCTGCGTGCCAGTCCTGGGGCGCACAGGCCACCGTGGCCTGCTCAGACGATATGCAAACAATGGGGGGTGCGACCCGGGGAGTACCCCACCGTCGGCCTTCAAGGTCCCGGGCAAACCTACCCGGCTCTAAAGCTAGCTAGGAATTCCTTCTCGGCCGGTAAGCTTCCGGCCTTCTCCCAAGCGGCGCACGGCACTCGGCCAGCCCCCTGCCCAGCCCTGCCTGGCCCTGCCCGCCGCCCCTCTGCCTCCGGCTGCCTCTGCGGCTGCAGCAGCTCGTTTTCACGGCGCAGCGGCCGCAGGGACGCTTCGACTACGGATCCCAGAGCGGCGGTGACCCCCCCTTCCTGCGTCCCCTACCCCCGCCCCTTCCCAGGATGCTGCACCGCGGGGAACGGGGACCAGCGGCGCACAGCTCGCTCAGAGATCGGGCTGGTGGCCCAGCTCCGGCCGGCGCCCCGGCTCGGTAGGCTCCAGAGTCAGCGGTTACCTGTTGTCCAGCTTAACGGAAACCACATCCCCTCCAAGCAGGGAAGAGAAGAAGGAGATGGAGAAATTGTGCAGCTGATAGACCGCCACCTCCATGGGGGTCTGATACATTTCGGTGTTCATGACTCGGGCTGCTGGGGAGCTCTGGCCGGGTTTCCTGCCGTGCTGGGCTGCTGGGCGGCTGCTGGCAGGCTGCGCTGGGCTGGGCTCTGCGCTGGAGTCCGGCCCTGAGGCTAGGAGCGGGACGAAGGCTGCAGAACGAACCCAAAGCCAGGCAGGCGCTCCAGCTGGAGTGGAAGGGAAGTGACTCGAGGGGTGTCACCTCGTGTGTCACAAACTCCACGGCCGCCAGTCCAACCCAGACTCGGAGATATTTTGGCTCCTGCTTCTTTATATAGGAGGAGCCGGCTGCGTCACATGGCGTCAGGGGCCATGCAAATGAGTCCTGTACCGGGCTTTGTGGCCCAGTTAAACCACATCCCCTCCCTGAACCTTAGGCTGAGACTGTAAACAGTTCAGCGCTTTCTTGTACCAACTGGCATCTCCAAAGAGGGCTCTAGAGATTGATAAAAACCAAACTGGAGCTGATTTCTAGAGAAAAAAGAAATACAAATGCCCTCACAAGAGGCAGAGGGCATTCAGTAGAGAACAGCGCTAGTTCGAAAAGCTCTTCTTCAGGTGGCAGCCAGCATGCCCCCATGGCTTTGCATGCTCTCCTATGTCATACTCTCTGACACCCGCCCTCACCATCACGGCCTCACCTTCTTCCCAGTCACTGCCCTCTCAGTCTCTCCCCTGCACACATACTTTGTCACCTGCACATTCACTTTCTAATCAACCCAGCTTTCCCCTCACCAGCCAGCTGGCATGCCGACCTGCCCTGAACCCCAGCACTCATCCACTTGCCCCTTCCTCTGAATGTTCAGGTGTGGGAGTACTTGTCTGTGGACTGGCACATGTACAGGTCTGTGACATGCATGTAATGCATGCACAGGTGCACTCTAATCTACAGATGCATATGTATGGTGTGCGGGAGCTGAGGTGAGTGGGTGAACATGTATGGGAGAGCAGCTAGGTGGGTGACAGAGGAGGTGAGGAGGAGACAGGGTATGGGAGTGAGCATTGGAGTGACCACAAGACGCCAGCCCTTTTCTCTTTGGTCTACCACATTCTACTCTTCAAATAAAATACATTAAACATTATCCAGGATCCCGTGTCTCTATTTTTTAAAAACAAAACTTTGTTACTTTTCTTTAAAAAAGTGAATGACAACACTCTAAACCAAAGGTATAAATATATATAAACAATCCCAGGAAAACACCTGCCCTGTGATGGGCCCAGCCATGCACAGCATTAGAGGGTACTTCAGGAAAAACAGACTCCAAACCATAAACTAGATGAGGTGATTGTTCCATAATAAAAGTTACACGTTTCCATTAAAACATATTTTCTTTATATTCAGCCTCAAGCTGAGGGGGAAAAAAAAAAAACAAAAGCACCAGAGACTTGAGGTCCTTTTCTTCCGCTCCTTCCTAAGTGAGGCCACCTGGTGGACAGAAGCAGGATTGCCACCAGAAGGAGCAAGAGGGGCAGGGACAGGTGATGGAACCGGGAATATTATTTACACAAACCCAGGACCAAAGGAGAACACTGGGTTCCACCACATATACAATAGTTTGGATGAAGTTAAGGCCAGTACCCATGAATCAGTGCTCCACAGGCTGTGGTCCAAAGAAAGATCCTAATGCAATCATGCTATTGGAAAAGTACTGGGACCTCTTATCAGCAAAGAAGGTAATTATTATTTGCTTCAGGACATTTATCTTAACCAGGTGCCTGGCACCAACACCCTGGCCAAGGCCCCAGCCAAGCCCAGTCTGAAGGCCTTGATTTCCTCCCGGCTTCCAGGGCAGTTATGCCACTGAACAGCCAACATTTTTGGCTATGGTGTGGTGCTCTATTGGTGGATTCCAGTGGTGATAATATGTGTACAAGAGCCATTATATTGCAAAGTGCTGACCAATAAACTAAGTAAATCTGCTGCACTAGCCCGGGATGGTGTTTTTCTTCATCTCACTTTAGGTAGGAGACAATCCCGATCTCAGGACATTCCGTTAACTTTAAGACACAAGCTCTCTGAACACGGCGTTTGCGCTAAGACAAGTGTAGTAGACAGAATAAAGTGCAGACTATACTTATGGATCATCAAGAACATTTGTTGAAAAAAAACTTCTTAAATCAGGAGCTTAACTAGTATCAGAATTCCCTGATATATTAGTATTAATCTGCCCTCCGCACCACATAGAGTTTTCTTGGTCCAGAAAGTCTCCGAGCTGACCTTTCATTGGCTTGTTAATTTTTCCTCAACTATTGCTTTCCCCTCCCCTCAAGATTCCAAGGAAGATGATGATAAGAAAAGGGGACAGAGAAATAAGCTGGGCTGTCAGGGGAAAAACACCACTAGGAAAACAGGGCACAGGACAGAAGTAAAACAGCTCCTTCAACAGGGACTCCCTTATGTGGAGACAGAGGCAGAGAAATCCAGGGGGCATGGGAAGGGAAGGCAAAAGGGTTAAGGTTCCCAGCAAAGCTGCATTTGAATTGATCATTAATTTGTCTAGGGCCATACCTCCCTGAACACACCTGATCTCGTCTGAGTTGTTCATTAGTTGTACTTCAATTATGAAAGCAAACTGAGTCTGAGACTCACTGACAATTGTAGTTACTATTAATACAGCATCAGCTATGGGCAGACACTGTGCTGGCTGCACCACCAACCCCAAGGTATAGGCACTGTCACTATCATTTTACAGATGAAGAAATCAAGGGTCTGAGAGGCTACCTTGCCCAAGGCGGCAAAGGTAATAAATTACAGAGCTGGAACTGCAGCCCAGGGTCTTCCTGACCCAGAAATCAAATTTGTTCCTACTGCACTGATCAGTGAGGCAGGGAATAGGTTTGTTGAATGGGTAGAGGCTTGAATGAGTGAGTTGAGGAAGTTGGTAGGGGGTTTGGAGGTGCCAGAGAGTGGTAAGGAGGAAGAAAGGGTGAGAAGCAGCAGCCCTACTGTTAGAGAGGTCCAGAGACTGCCTTTGAGTTCTGCGAGCCTTGGCTTTTCTAACACGTGAGGCAGAGGAGAGCTGCAATGGGTGACTGGAACAATATCCAACTGTCTAAATGAGTTTTATGAGACGGCCATGCTCACCCACATCATTCCAAAAGGCAGCCAAGCAATCCTCAAAGAAAGCTATCTGTTTGGGAAATAGGAGACATTAATCTAACAGGGTGGCTTCCAGAATGGAACATGTAGGCCTGGGGTGTACAATATTCCAAATCAAGCATGGAGTCTTGGCAGCACAATCACAATCCAGTCAAACTTTGAGTTCCTGAAGCCCCACTCACCGGCACCCTTAATTAACTCCTTTTTCCTCCTATTCCAGCTGTGCTCAGCTTTTAGGAAAATGAGGTCAATAAGAAAACAAGTTCATATCAAAGATTTAGTTTAAAAAAAAAAAAAAAAGACTTGGAAAGGAGGTCCCAGGTTCATCCCAGACTCAGACAAGCTCTCATCCTCTCTACATCTCTGGTTCTGTTGAGTGAGATGTGATCACCCTGAGACCTTATGATCCTCCAATAGGAAAGAATGAATGGATCCCAGGGTCCACTAGCTCCCTAAGGGAAGAATATGGACTTAAAAGTCTCTGTAGAAAGATTTTCTGGCCAGGCACAGTGACTCACGCCTGTAATCTCAGCACTTTGGGAGGCCGAGGCCGGTGGATCACCTCAGGTTAGGAATTCGAGACCAGCCTGGCCAACATGGTGAAACCTTGTTTCTATTAAAAATACAAAAAATTAGCCGAGCATGGTGGCGCACGCCTGTAATCCCAGCTACTCGTGAGGCTGAGGCAGAAGAATCGCTTGAACCTGGGAGGCAGAGGTTGCAGTGAGCCAAGATCGTGGCATTGCACTCCAGCTTGGGCAACAAGAGTGAAACTCCGTCAAAAACAAAACAAAACAAAACAAAAAACAAAAACAAAAACAAAAAAAGATTTTCCAACAACAAGGGCAGGGGAGATAAGGGTGGGTAGGAAGGGTGGGGGTGGGGGAAGGAGGAGGAACCCAAAGAGTTTTCTGCTTAATCCTCAGCACACCAGAAAATTTCTCCATCCAGAATAGCTGTTCCACACCTTGCAGTGAGTGGAAATTTGTGCTGTACCTATCCATGATCTGATCCAATATTGAGACTCTCAGGGTCCTT